CAGTGGCGGAGCCAGGGAAGAATTTATGGGGGGGCAAAGATTCATTTTAGTAAATAACCAAAATACATAATACTCCGTACTATAATAGTAACTAGCTTAATTGGCAAAGTGCAACTAAACATATTTTCTATTTGTGCAAAAGAGTAAGAGTTGTTTGAGGCGGTAGAAAAGTTTCGAGATACCAATTTTTGAAAACACTGTATAATAACTTCATCATTAATAATCTTAAAACAATAATTTCACATTTCTTAATCTCTAGAACTTGAAATTACATTAACATTTATCAAATATTTAAATATCAACAAACACACTAGAACCACAGAACAAAATAAATATTAATAAATTCAAAACATAATTTAGCAATTTTAAAAAATATCAAATATTAAGAAACAAATCTCAAAATTACTCCGTAGATATTTAAAATTTACATATACCTAGATAATGAGACAAGTTCCGAAGATTGGATGAAGAGACACAAAAGAAAAGCTCAAAGTTAGAAGAATTCAAAATTGGAAGAATTTGCCATTTGCCCGTTTCTGCTACTGCCTATTGGCTATTGCGCCACTCTATTTTTTTTTCACAATTGGGCTGTTGGGCCGAGCAGTGTATCGCAGGGTCAATTGGAGTCAAATAAATTATTTTAAACCTATTATTGAAAACGACGTCGTTTTCTTTCCTTCTTTTTTCCGGAAACAGCTGCTGCTTCTTCTTCTTCTTCTTATCTTTTTCGATCAGCTGGACGGCTGAAGCATGATCGGCGACGCTGCGACAATCTGGGGGGGCAAATTCGGCCTCCCGTCGTTGATTGGGTACCCTATTCCCATTTTATCGGAATTTCGCCGGGGGGGCACTTGCCCAGGCATGCCCCCCCTCTCCTCCGCCCCTGAATGCCCTACTATTTTTGGAAAACAATTGTTGTTTTGATTTTGAATTTGCAAATTATGGGTTGATTTGAGTAATATCAGTCTAACTTCGTACTCCAAAGTATGGTATGTTGCAAATATTGACGTGGTTGGAGGAGTGGGTTGGGGTCAGGATTGGGTGGGTGGTTTGCTGGGGTTAGGGGGTAGGAACTATCATTTTTTCAAACGGAGCACCATAGGTGTTGTAATTTGTTTCAGGCTTTGGTTGATTTCTAATGGGAAATGTACAAAAAGTTGACAATTTTTTATTTTTTATTTTTATTTTTTGCTTTAAAATGAAAAATCATTCAAACCGGTAGTAGCATTCTGATCAATACAAACTGTTTTAACAAAATATAAATAGCTGCAAATTGGAAATTATATTTCTCTTTGATGTGCTTGTATTGAAATTTTGATCTTATTCATGTTTGTATTTTGGATCTTTTCCGTACTTTTTCTTGCTTTATTGATTGTCTTTACACCTAGATTTTCATTGATCTTCTTGCGCTTCCCTTCACATTTTGATCTTCCTTTTCTCAATCTTTTTTGTATACATCTGTGTCATCTCTCTGTCTCATACTACAACATCATATGTAGTTTCTATGTACAATTATGCAAATGAAAATAAAGAAATGAAGTGAGTCCTCTCTCATTCAAAATTTCTCATCTTTAAAATAGTAAGTCAAATGGTAAGTTACACCTTAGAAAAATGGTAAGTTACAATACAAACTTATTTTGATTATATTAGAGTATTCTAAGGAGAGTATCTTATTTATTATTTTTGGTGAAGAGAGTATCTTATTTATTATTTTGAAATTTTTTTATAAATGAAGAGAAAAAAATATAAATTGGGAAATAATATTATCATATAAATGAAGATATTTTTTCCACAATTAAATTTACTCATTGATTTCTAACCAAACCATTACTTTTTTATTTTCCATGTCACAAATCATGTGGCATAGTAAGTTTCATAAAAAGCCACATAAACAATATCTACATGTCGGCTTTCTAGAGATTAAAATCTGATTTTTATATATATAGGTTACCTAAGTCATACAATCTGAATTTAGCTATAAATTTTTATGTGAAAAAATTGTAATTATAATTCATCTTTTACTTTTTAAAAAATAAAATTGTTTGACAATTCCAGTAAAGTTCAGTTGTAAAATAAATGTGATCTTTTTTGATTTTTAAGAAAATAAGTTTTTTGTGAAACATACCATATGTGAATATATTTTCTTTTATTTTTTTTAAAAATTATTTTATTTTTTACTAATTGAATCCATTTTATCCATGTGTTTTTAAACTCTTTTGTTTGAAGTCATTATATCTTTGTGTTTTATAATTTTAATTATTTTAGAATAATCCATGAACTTGAAGAATCTAAACAATTATTCTTATAGAAAAATAAAATGTATCCAAATCTACACAACTCCATTTAGAATTAAAACCACTCATGTGATAAGAAAAGACCGTTTAGGAAAATATTAAACTAGAAAAGACTAGGTACATAATTATTTCTTATTGAGAACTGATTTGAAAAAAATATCTTATTAAAAAGAACCATTTTGAAAATTTCTTTACGCATAACTTACTTTTAGTTATATTAGTTTAGTCAAAATTTTGCCAAGCTAAATTAAATTCAGTTACGTACATATTTTTTTGAACTACAACCATATTTTAGCTAAATAAATTCTCATAAAAAAGAATAAATTAAAAATTCTAAAACAATTTCATATTTTACTTAAAAAACTTTTATATCACCGTTATTGAATTTTTTTTATGAATAATTTACTTAATTTTTTTTGAAAATTTATATTTTTTTTCATTTATTTACTTAATTTCTATTGAATTCAAAACTCTATAATTTTTTTTAATATAAATATATTGATTTAAACTAATCAAATATTTAAATATCAAGTTCTAAGGATTATAATAAACTATTTGCTTAAAATGATCAATAAATATTTAAAACATGCCATGTACTCTATATTTGTTTCTTGTGTCATGTCATTTAATCTTTAAAAAATAAAAAAATTAGAACGGATATTAGTCACACAAATAATTTCAAATATGATATGTGACAACAATAGTGAGAATATTAAAGAAGTAAAAAGAGATTAAATTAGTCAAATTAATGAATTATAAGTTAAGCAAATTCAAAGAAAGTAATTTTTTGTAATATCAAATACGAAGTATATTAGTGTAAAATTATCAAATATGTAAATATCAACTTTTAAAACTTACCATTAATTATTTGCTTAAAATGGTCAATAAAAATTCAAAAGTTACCATATATGAAGACTTCTTTAAAAATGATTTTAGGTTCAATTAATGCATACTCTCATTGAGTTATATATATATATATATATATATATATATATATATATATATATATATATATATATATATATATATATATATATATATATATATATATATATATATATATATACATATATATATATATATGTATGTATGTAAAAAAATGGATTCGGTTTTAGAGAGAGGTCAGAGCTCAGCGCCGCCTGGTTTCCGATCAATACCTCAGTCGCCGGAGATTTTTCCTCCTTTAACAGTCTCAACCTCGCCGGCAATAAGCTCTTTTTCATTCCCAAATCACCAGACTCAAACATATCTTCGAAATTTGAAGGATAGCCGATCTCCCCCTCCACTCTTTGGTGTCAAATCCTATGTCGAAACCCTTAAAGGCTACTCGGCAGGGGCTTACAATCCACCGTCTCCCTCCACGCAGCTTCTACCATCTACCCAGAAGACGGTCACACAAGAGACTCACGACTCGAAGGCGCCACCAGAAAAGGATGGTAATTCCCTTCCACCCCCTCATGTGAAGAATATCATACCAATGGTCTTTAAAATTTTTGAGAAGGAATTTACACTATCCACTTCGGTGTATAATAAAAAGATCTGTATTTCTGAGCTTTTCAAAAAAAAGAAGCACTGTATATGGCTAAGTTTGGATGCTGGGTACTGGCTTCTTAATACACTATACAAATTTACCACGGACGGATCCATACCTTGTCCTGTCAAGACAGAACACAACCGCTCACTCTTCATTCGATTTAGAGCCAGCCCCAAAGGATCTTCTCTTCAACTTACAGAAAGGAGACAAGACGGGCGGAGTATGATTTTCATCCCAGAAGGCCAACAAGGTTATGGTTTTACATCCTTCAACTCCAGATTGGAGCTAGTACTTAAACACCTCTCTAGGACTACCCCCCTCCTGCACCCTTCATTGATAGGGCCTTCATTTGTGCTTTTTCAACCCCAACTCCCACTGATACCTCTATGTACATTTCCTCCACTTTATTCAAGTTGGAAGTTTGCCCCCAAGAGGAAAAAACCATACCCCCCTTCTCCAGACTCCCCCTCGCAAGGCCTTCCCTTCTTTCTGCTAAAGCCAAAGAATTTGTTCCTATAACACACTTCACCTCGCCACCGGCTCCCATCTTATGTCCAGCAGCTCCAATAGCCTCAAGACTCACTTTTTTGGGATGTTCATCTTCTGACACTGAAAGAGATAACACTTGGGACATCTCTAAAGCCTATGAATCTGATCAGGAGCAACAATATTGTTCAAGGAAAGGCCCTTTTCCAATAGATGATGCCTCAGAATGGGAAACTGATAGAGAATCAGATGAAGAGGAGAGTAAAAGGGGTTCGCATGCAAAGAAAAAGTCTATCAAAAAAAGAAACCAAGAAAGATTTGAAGAACTTATAAGCCACATTCAAGGAGGGGTTGTTAACAAACCTAGAAGGAGCAGGAGACTTGCTAAGCTCAGGAACGAACTCATTGATGAAAGGAACCTAGAGTCTTTGAACTTGGGGTAAGCCTAAGCCCGAAAATATGGTTTTAATTTAGGACTCTAGAGTTAATATTGGTGATTTATTCTGGGATGCAATCTTTAAGCTCCTATCAAGGTTTGGTTTATAAGTTCAAATCTTTATGGGTGTATCCTGCTGGAATTAGTTTCGATTTGGTCAGTAAATTCTGGTAATTCTATTGCATAGTTGTGTTTAGCACTTCCAAGCATGGCATAGATTCAACTCTCCAAGCAGCTACAATGGGTGGGAGATTGCTCAAAGCTTGGGAGTGGAGCTGGTTGCACCTAGGACAGTTTTGTCTGCTCCCTTTGGAATATTTAGTATTTTGGGATTCTAATTTCATGACCAAATACACCTGCTTGGAGAATTATTCCAATGGATCGAGGAGACAGACCTACACCATCAAGCCCGGCATGTAGCTGTTTCACTTTTTATATGTTTGTTGTTTTCCCTTTGTATTCCAAATAGGTGGACTTTTGTCTAGAATCCCTGGACAGAAACTAGGCATCCCAATTAGACTTGGTAAGGTTTGGCTATCCTGTATGGGGTACGGGCAACCCCCACTCTCTTTTGTACTCTCTTTTTAATTTAATAAACATTTCTCTCAAATATATATATATATATATATATATATATATATATATATATATATATATATATATATATATATATATATATATATATATAGAGTTTGGTTCCAATGAGAAAGAGATTTAATGAAAGAAATAAGAATAACTATAAACCGTCCGATCTGATGAGTTTTCAATCTTATCACCAGGGCATAGAAGTCTTTACGGCACTTCCTTCAAACGCAACGCAAACCATCGTGAGTTCTCATCCCTGATTTCTTGTGCACGATCTGATTCACTTTCCCCATTTTCTCTCTAACCTTTCTAGAGATATGAATACCCTTATTTACCAAACTCTTCCTAACCTCCAATTCGGCCGTAATTGGGAGCGTCTTTGCTGCTCGATCTTTTATCATGGTTCCAGGTTTGTGTTTTTTGTGATTCTTTTTGTCTACAATTACGTAACCATGGTATGTAAATTTCACTAGCCTCTCCAGTTCGTTAGATCCATGGATGCGCTTACATTCTCTGTGAAATTACTTATAAATTTTTTTGGGATTTAGAATTTTTCTTAATGGGGTTATCGTTTCAAAGGTTGCTGGTTAAACTAAGTACAGCTTCATGAAACACTGCACCCATATATTTTTGTATGCATTATTTCTAAAAAGGGTTATTTTTTATTTCTTTATGCATTTCATGCAGTTTGTATTGCATCACCATGTCTGCATACTGCATTAAATGACCCCCCATCGTCTGACCATGCTTACTGCATCAAAATGACCCCCCATGGTTGGATTTAGAATTTTTCTTAATGGGGTTATCGTTTCAAAGGTTGCTCGTTAAACTAAGTACAGCTTCATGAAACAATGCACCCATATATTTTTGTATGCATTATGTCTAAAAAGGGTTATATTTTATTATTTAATGCATTTCATGCATTTTGTATTGCATCACCATGTCTGCATACTGCATTAAATGACCCCCATCGTCTGACCATGCTTACTGCATCAAAATGACCCCCCACGGCTGATCATGCTTAGTCAATTCAACAATGCTTCAAAATGGTATTGGTAATGCCTGTAACTATTTTTGGTGGACTACATTTCGTCTTTTGCTAGTTTTCTTTTCTCTTTGTTGTTCGTCAATTGCGGCCACTTTCATGAAATTACGCTTCATGTCGTATCTCACCTTCTGTGTTTATTTATTCATATATATGTCCTCTATTTCGCTTTTTTTGAATCATGTATTACATAATTATAATTACGTAATGCATTTAGCTAACCTTCCTCCGTTGATTGTGGCCAGGGTACACACCTATGACTTCAAACGAAGGCCCGACACATGCAACCGAAATTATTTCGACTTCATCCAACTTATTTATTCCTGCCTGCCCTGAAGAGGCCAAGCTCAAAGTGGGAATGGTATTCTAATCCTTAGAGGACGAATTTAATTTTTACAAGGAATATGTTGTATTGGCAGGTTTTGACATTCGTAAAAGCACCAATTTGAAGGTTTCGGGTGTTGTTGTGTGGCGGTACGTTGTATGCAACCGCGAAGGTCATAAGCATTTTGCATCAACCTGCAACAAACCCACTCACGACGATGGAGACTTGCCCAAGGCAGGTACTTGAGAACCTAACCTCTTTGAAAATTATTGTGGTGTTCCCGCTCCATCAGTGTTTAAAGTGCTTCCACCTCAACCCGCTCACAACAAGGGTAGTGGTAAGCGCATCAAGAGTGCTAAAGAGCTCCAGATTGAACAAAGCAAGAAGAACAAACGCTTGTGTCGAACTTGCAAAGCGCTGGGCTATCACGATAGTAGAAATTGTCCGATGAATACTTTGAGATAATATTACTTTTTTTCTACAAACATTTAATATTTTTTTGTTGAATCTTTTTAGCACAAGATGAACTCATGTGTCCCATATAAGCCCCCCCCTCTCCTTTCATTTTTTCCCATTACTTGTATATTACTCGAATTTTGATTACCAATGAAATAATTTATTCATCAATTCATGCATTGTACGTATCTCCACATCATCAAAAGTTAGACTTCTGTTCCAACACTGCCTCACACACTTCACCTTATATGAAACACGAATTAAACGCCTTAATAGTTACTTTTATATAAACTTTGGATACCCATAAAATAACGGGGGATTATGAGTGTTAAAAAGCGTCACCCATTCGTTCTTCCCATTTTCGTTTATTAACCGAATGTGTCCAGAATCTCGTTTAACCATTGTCCCAAATCACAACTTTCAACAACACCACATCTCTATAAAGAACTCTTACGTTGCATTCAAACACCTCCAAACCGCACTAAAACACTATTTATCCTGCAAGAAGTTATTTACCTTCTCCGTAATCAAATTCTCCCTCAAACACTCGAAAAATAACTCAATACTACTGCACTAAAATACGCATACACGTACACAAATGAATGAGCACCGTGCATTCATGTTTAATACCACAATCAACACTCATATGGAAATATTATCCAATCGCTGATTACGCTAATCAATGACTTTCATAAACTTGTCAGGTATTACCTAATTACTTTTGCAAAATAAATGTTGACTAAACATCAGTAACGTCCCATAATTTTTAAACTAGAATTCTTGTTAAATAATAAAAGATACTACTAACTACGCACATTTCGAGCAATAATTCAACCCCATCTTGCAAAATGAACAAGCCAGTGATCGACTCATTCAGTGGCTGTGCACCAAACCAAAACATCAAAATGTCACCCAAATGCAAGTCCTAAAAACATAAAACAAACAGATCATAATCCCCATGCCAAGTCACTAATTAAAACATTAATTAGTGACTTCAGTTGAACTTCTCCCATTTCTTTGTCTTCGTCTTCACTAATGCCCTCACCTTCAATAGACTTTCCAGTTTGTGCTGATTCGTCACCAACGAGATCAATTTGCCCCGGTCCCCCATGCAGCTTGGTTTTTGTTCTGAACATAACATTCATCAACCTTCCACTCCTCCTTCGTGGAGTGCTATCTTGTGATTTCAGCACCTTCTTCTTACATCTCTTCAGGAACAGCTGCTGCACTCCTGTCAAGGTAAGAAATGCATTGTAAAGCATTTGACGAGATCATTGTTCATGCCATATGGAACAAAACTAATGTACTACTGCATTGAATTTAATTTAAATTGCAGATACTTATCCCACATATCAATTAGAATATTCTTTTCAATGACTTTTACTTAATTTGTCTTGTCATTTACCATGCAATACATTACTTATTTAGAATCAACTACTGCACAAAACCAACAAAGGACATGCATACACATAATAATAATTAAAAAACTACAAGCACCAACAAGCACCACATGAAAAAAGGTTTCATCCTGAATGTCTGGTTCAGAACACATTCATTTCTGATCCATTAATAAACTGTGAATGCTTAACTAAACCCACACCTTGCATCCAATATCAAATTTTGAACACATTCATGACTGATGAAATTGTAGAACACATTCAATTCTTATCAATTACAATGCTATTTTACTTGAACTTCACATAGAGTTTTCTACTATGGAAAATGCCTCTACCTTGCTTATTTTAAACCAACTATTGCATCTAAACAAGAAAATGCTATGCATACCCATTATAATATCTCAGATACACCACATATAATACTCGTACAAACTGCTTAGATAAAAATTGAGACTGCTAATCTCACCCCACACCTTGCATCTAATAAACACAAGGGAACTGACTCTAATCAATTCAAATTACCCACACTTCACATCAAAAACAAATCATTCCATGCCTAACCACATTCCATGCATCTAATTAACAGATTGATTCATGCTACTAATCAACTGATATGTCTCACAATTTACTTCGGAAATTGAATACAAACTGCACCAAACTTCAATTATGGTGCAACAAACTTCAATTTCACAAAAAAAACATGTCATGAACAATGCACTACACTGCTTATTTTGAACCACATACTGCATATTACAAAACCAAATGCTATTACTTTGTATTACAACCATCAGAGTAACAACCACACATCCTAAATGAATGATGCAATCTAGAATACATATATTGCTTGCCCAATTAAAATTTTGTAATGCTTGCCTAACCACATACCATGCATCTAATTAAAAGATTGATTCATGCCACTAATTAATTGATATGTCTCACAATTCACTTTGGAAATTCAATACAAAGTGCACCAAACTTCAATTATGGTGCAACACACCCGAAACCCTACTCCAACTCATGCAATCACTAAATCAATTTACAAACCCCCCCCCCCCCCCCCAAATAAACAAATTCACAACAAATTAAGTTTAAAGCATTACCTGTTTCATCTGTCGAGGTCAGCGGGGTGAAATTGGTATCCGCCCCCTCTTTCTCCGTCGTTGCACTCTTCTCAGTTGCCATACCGACTAGACTCCGAATTACAGAAGACTACTCCGAGTCCAAGAGCACGTTCAATGGAGGTATGCAATTTGCCTCTGCGCTTTCTACTCGAAAGTAGCACAAAAAAAGGGATACATAGCAGGATTCCTTTTTGGGGAGGGCACGTGTGATATTTCGAATGGCAAATTTGCCCTTTTGCGCAGCCATCCCCTATTTTTAAGCACGGTAATTCACACTTACCATTTGCAATTTAATAATTACTAAAAAGTAATGGTTCAATCACAGCCATCCATCCCACTTCATCTAATGCCTTTCCATCCTTCTTATTTCTTTCACTAGGAACCATTCTTAAGCTTTCTCATCATGTCCAAACATAAGTTGAATAAAATCAAAAGTATGAAACACAATGCGTATATCGGGTATTACAGTGCATTCATATTAAAAAGTATTTATAATTACACTTTTTTACTTTAAAATGTGAGGAAAAAATGATACTCCCGCCGTCCCTAAATAAACTTTCGTTTTTGATTTTTTTAGGATTTAGGGCAGATATATTTTGTTGTTGACTTTCTAAAAATACTCTTGATGTGATCTGATGATGTGTAAAAATAAGATGTGTAAAAATAAGATGTGATATGTAGATTATTAGTAAAAAGGTATGATGTGATAGGTGGGGTATGAAAAAGTAAGGGGTAAAAGGGGTTTTTTAAGGGAAAAGAGAAGTTTATTTGGGGACAAAGAAAAAACGAAAGAGGAAGTTTATTTAGGGACGGAGGAAGTATCAAAATTTTATATTCAATATTAGTGCCATTGGATATATCTCCACGAGTGATTTCCAACGATGATATATTTTTTTGTCAAAAATAGACTTTTGTATAAAAAATTATACTCAAAATAGGCATTACATAATACAAGTAATAAGTAAATGAGTTTAATTATAGGGTGAAATTAAAATTGATAGGGACAAAGATAGGATGCGTGATTCCAGTGCCCTGTGAGTTTTACTGACCTTACAATGCAATAATTAACTATTTTACTCTAATCTAATAATTGCTTTCCATATTAAGAGATCAAAAAAATTGATTTATTTAAGACGCACGATGTATCTTCTTATTTCTTTCACCAATACTTTTATGACATGTTTCTGTGTATTATGGATGTATGCTCGAATCTTGCACAGATAAAATATTTCTAAAATTTGTATTGTTCTTCAAAATACAACGCATTCTTAGGCTTTCTCATCACATCCAAACATAAGTTGAATAAAATGAAAAGTACGAAACACACTGCATATATTGGGTATTAAAGTGCATTCATATTAAAAAGTATTTATAATTACACTTTTTTACTTTAAAATGTGAGGAAAAAATGATATCAAAATTTTATATTCAATATTAGTGCCATTGGGTATATCTCCACGACTGATTTCCAACGATATATTTTTTGTCAAAAATAGACTTTTGTATAAAAAATTATACTCAAAATAGACATTACATAATACAAGTAATAAGATGAGTTTAATTATAGGGTGAAATTAAAATGGATAGGGACAAAGATAGGATGCGTGATTCTAGTGCCTTGTGAGTTTACCAAATTGACCTTACAATGCAATTATTAACTATTTTACTCTAATCTAATGATTGCTTTCCATATTAAGAGGTCAACGAAATTGATTTATTTAAGCCACACGATGCATCCCATTAATTCTTATTTCTTTCCCCAATCACCATTCTCATAAGAACCGACCCATGAGTCGGTTCCCATATAAATGATCCTTTATGAAAGAAATGAGAATAAATCTTATCCATCAAATTATATTCCATGAACGGTGATGATGAAATTATGTCCATCAAACTTTAAAAAGGTAGGTAGTAATTATGATTCATGAAAGTAGGTACTAATCACTCAATTTCTACGTTTAGGGGCATTAATGTAATCATGAATCAATTTCATTAAATACGAAAAAGTTTATAAGAGAGTATACTATAATATAAAATTCGTTTGATTTAATTACCCTTCTATATTAGGCCTGTTTGGAAATAGCGTTAGCTATTAGCATTAGCTTTTTGGATAAAAATTTGACGGTGCAGATTACTTTGAAAACTGGGAGGAGATTGCCCACGTTTGCCAGTGCAGGAGGCGGGCAATACTACCTTAAGGAAAGCTCCGGCGACTAAGCTTTCCTCACCTTTACTTCGAGAAACTACTCCGGCGACGCATAACCCGAAGTCACCACCTTGCTGTCCATTCGTGTTCCTCTATTCCGTTCGAGCATCCGAAGAACTCCAACTTTTCTTTTTCTTTATTTTTGTTGTAAAATTCAAACGTTTTATAAGTTCGGATTAATTATTTTATTTTATTTTCCCGCTGTAATATTCAACAACGCTAACGCTAAACGCTGCCCGTAGATAGCCTTTTCAAAACGCTAACACTAATCGCTAACGATATTCCCAAACAGACCCATTGTCTATTTTAAACATAATGTTTTATACAGAAGTCTGTTCTTAACAAATAATATGCCGTTAGAAATCTCTCGTTGAGATCTATCCAACCGTATCAATATTAAATATAAGTTTTGATTCTATTTATTCTCATATTTGCACTATCATAT